CCGTCTTTCGCGAGGCCGGAGAGGGAGAGGGTTGGGGGAGTACGAGGGTGCGCACACCAGCCTCTTCATCTTCTCCTCGTCGCCGCGCGTAGCGGAGAAACGCGAATCCCGGACGGCGTTTCTCATAAAGTCGCGAGCTGGCGCGTAATCGCGGGTATATTAAAGCGCGCTAGGAGATATCAGCGCGGGGAAGGTCTCGCGAAATAAGGAGAATTCCGCCGGCGAACACTTACACGCCGTGTAAGTACGGCGGGCGAGCGTCAAACGAAAATTCGCGCAGCACATCTGCGAGCGAGCGCGAGCGATGTCTCGAAAATTATGGACATTCCCGCAAAATTGCCGCCGCGGAATCATCTCCGGCGGCGGTGAGAGCAAATTGCCCAAAAGGTTACTAGCGGTGTAGTCAGTTTCACGTAGAAGTAATTAACTAAATTTTGCTTATTATTCCACGAGGAAGGGAGAAAGAGAAGAAGCGCGCGCGCGCGCGAGAGAGAGAGAGAGAGAGTGAGGCAAGGGGAGAGAGGAGAAGAGACCCGCTTTGTAGGACCCTGTAACTCGCGGCAGAATCCGCGACAAAATTCTGCCGCCAACTTCGTGTACGTACGCGATCCTCCGCGAGCGCTTTCCGACATGAAATGATAGAATTTCGCTTCGGAGTTCCGAGTGGCGAACTTACGCCGAAGGGCGCCTGAGAAGCGGCCGACTCGAGTCTGTTTGTAAGTTTCCGCCTAGATCCCGCGAGAGATCCGCCGGATTAGCTCTTATCGACGTTGTGCCACGACGAATCTGTGTTTACATGGGCCTTTTATTCGCCGCGATATCATACCTTACAAGGGCAATGCGCCTTCGCCGAGGCCGCCGCGGCGAGCCGCATTCACGTGAGCGTATGCGATATGAACCCGGCCGGTCGTTCCGTGCAAGGCGCAGAAACAGCGGCCGATGAATGGGAAGATTGCAGGTTATTTCCCCGGCGTAATGTCAGCGCTCGTGTCATGCGCGACATTTCTTCGTCCGACAGCGCGTTTAGACATTCGAATAATGACGGATGCGCCCGGTCGCGGCGCGATATCACGAGTGGCGTTCGTGGAAACGATTAGCTATCGCAATCTGCGATCGACCGTAGCGCAGGATTCCGGGAATCTCGACCGTTGGATTTTTAATAGCGACCGGAGAGAGACGCGACAGCGCGACCGATTAATTAATGCCACCGGCGTCGGTGCTCGCTCCGCTATATACGGGTGAAAGACGGCACATCGACGGGAGAAATATGCAAGAGAGATGGTTGGCGCACGTGTCGGTTTCTTCGCGCACGTCTAGACGTCTCGAGCTCGACGTTTGTCTTCTTCAACGTTTCCGCGGCCAAGGCGGAAGCGCGTGTCCGGTTAACCCGTTGAAAGATGACGATGAGGCCGCCGCGCGGAACTTGCCGACGATGACGACAGCGACGGGTCTGTGAACGTCGCGTTCGGTATTCCGAATATCGACATAGCGAGCACTAAATATACCTTTCTCACTCATTTGAGTGTGACACTGAAATAGGAAAAATTAAACGTAAAAGTAAAAAAATATCTGCCATACATATATTTCTGATTCTGAAGCTGAAACGAAGCTCACGAGAAACGAGAAAAATTAAATTGAAAGTTATAAAGACGTATTAGCGCACTCGCTGTGAGATCGAAATTAAGACACTTGGAGTCGTATTCTGAACGCCTAACAAATATTAAATGCGCCTTTCGGATGCTGGAGTTGAAACAAAATTACACATGACATATTCACGCGAGGAAAATTCTAAGCTTGGAATTAAGCAAGTATCTTAGCGCATTCGCTGTAGTCCGAAATAAGACCCTCGAGGCCGTATATTGGACACGTAGCGAACATTAAATATGTCTTTACGATTCTCAAGTTGAAACAGAGTTACACGCGACGTGTTAACATTTAGGAGAATTTAGCTCGCAATTAAAACGGCATATTAGCGCATTCGCTGTAGTCCAGAATATAAAGAGCTCTTGGAAGCGTATTCCGGGCACGCTAAATATACCTCTCTGATACTGAAATTGAAACGGAGGTTACAAGCGACGTTCGCGTAGGAAGAATTTAAGTTGAAATTAAAAAAGTGTGCTGGGGTGTTCGCTATACCACACGTGCGGAATAAGGTCGCCGGTCGCCGACGTGGAGCAGCGAGAGCTACGAGGTGACGTGAATCGAAGAACGATGGAAACCCTTTCGGACGCGTCAGCGCCCGCTGTGGGGGAAAGAAGGAATTACATTCTTTCCCCCCTTTTCTTCTTTCATTTTTACGCCGCTCTCATGTCGCGTCGCGCGTTCAAGCCTCGTGGCTCGCTTGCGAGAGCAGTAAACGCTCAACGTCGATGCCCGCCGCCCTCCGCGGTAATTATTCGCCGCGCATCAAGCTGAAAGAATTGTAAGGAGGATAATAAAAGCCCTCGAAATGAAGAGAGCGTCGGGGGCGCGCGGCGGAATAAGACGTAAGTCGGCCGGGGCGGCGACGCGGCACGTCGCTTTTTTATCGTCGGCATTTGTCGGCGCGCGGCGTAAAAAGAGAGAATCTCGTCGACGCGCGGCGCGGCGCGGCGCGGTAAAGGAGCTGGGTGTGTACGCGGTTTCTGAGGACGCTCGCGCTACTAATAACGCAACACCACGCGCGTGCAGCGGCTCCACAGGCTCTCGACTACGGTCTCTCCTTGATAAATTCGATTAGCGCGTGTCTCCCGGCGAGACGCGCGCTCGGCGGCGAGAGAGAGAGAGAGAATCGTCTCTTTCGCGATGTTAACGATTACTACGTTGCGCAACTCGGGAATTAATCCGCGGCTGTCACGCACGACACCGGCACGGTATAATAACGAGACACCGCGCGCCGCACGTGTCGCGCATAATCCACGTCCGCTCGAAATACGGCATTCACGCGCGAGGAAAATGACGGAGTGCGAGATATCGGAAGGAGCGCGCGCGAGTCGGACGCGAGCGCGAACGGCTGGCCGTAAGTAGTAAAGCCCCGCGCTCGGGCGGACGTCGCTCTCGTTCACGCGGACGCGGCCGGCCGCGACTCTTCTTCTTCTTGGCCGCTTCTCTCCTTTAGGCGCCTTTAGCAGCGTGATAACCGAACGCAGGAATTTTTCGAGCAGCTGTCGCGTCGCCACCGCGACATTATTCTCGCCGCTTTCCTAAATGAGGATATTAATCGCCGAGAAGTTACGCTTGAGCGAATTCTCCCTCGGGAAGAACGCGCAGGCGACCAGGTACGCCCACCGAGCGCGTAATCGCGTTTCATTAAATACGAGATGGATTTCTGCGCGATAATTTCTCTCTCTCTCTCTCTCTCTCTCTCTCTCTTGTCCGCATGGAGAAAAAAATGTCAATTCGCGTAACTGATTGGCAATCGGACGAAAACTCGACGGCGAGGAATGATATGATTCGTTCGAAGGTATAGCTGTGTTGAAACTCGATTGAGACGACGGTTGAGAATAATTGACCGAGCGAAAGGCTTCCGAGATGAATTAGTGACCAAAAAAGTGATCTAATTGTGAAAATGAATTAATAAATTAACAAGATATTAAAAAACTCGCCTTCGTCCGACAAACGACAGGCACTCGGTCGCGTTTTAACTTTGCCGAACAGATCCGAGCAAATAAAAATACAGAAGGACGCAAAAAAAAATCGTATCAACCTTCTCGCGCGTTTCTGGGCCGATTCTTCCGTGCACCTCGGCGAGTAGTAAGCACTTTAGCGTGTTCCCGCGGATATGTTCGGCGAACACGTTCCAATAAACACTTTTATCCCCAGCTTTTAACGATGAATCGTATTCTCGGCGGCAGTGGGGCGCGAATGGGAACCGAACCGGGTCTCTCTCTCTCTCTCTCTCTCTCTCTCTCTCTCTCTCTCTCTCTCTCTCTCTCTCTCTCTCCCTCCCTCCCTCCCTCCCGCTTTCTCTCTCGTACACATACACGAGCGATTAAAAGCGATACGTTACGTCGCGCGAACTCGCCCGCACGAGTGCTTTAATGAGAGAGTACCTGGGGGTGCATCTATATTGACATTCTGGTGCACACACCCGAGAAAGGTGGTGCTCCGCAGACCAAAGTGGAGGTTCATACCGTTTATTTACGCGCAGGCCGCAGCGCGAGAGCTCACGATTATCATATTACGCTACTCTACTCTGATAATTATACTCGTTTTCGTCAACTGCGAAATTATCCCTCGCCGAGTGGCGGCGAGCGGCGCTTCTCGCTCGCTCGTCGCGCTTGTCGCGCGACCACCATGGGCGCGCTCGAACAATGTTCTTTGAAGCGCGCGTCAGCACCCGTATTCAAATACTTTCCGCAATTTCCGCTCGTGCTTCTTCCGGTCAACATCTCGAATCGTCGCGAGTTCAGCGAGTCATAATTGACGCTGCGTCGTTCAATACGTGCAGAAATCGGCTCGGAAGCACCGGTCGCGTGAAATTGCAAATGAGACTCCGCCTCGAGTTGGTGTTGTCGCAAATTGCGAATATAAAACTGCAGTCCGAAGTTATCCAGATGGTGGCTAACATAATTGCCACGACGTGAGACGATCGATGATGCAAGCTCGACAACTTTTTAATTACATTTACGAAGCAAATATGCCGTGTTGAATTAATCATTAAATTTACATTCAGCAATTAAACCCGTCATTAAATTTACTCATGTGAATTTAATGAGTGATGTAAATTTTTTGTCGTATCGACGCGGCGACAAACTGCTCCTACTTATTCTCAGATTTTCATATTACATTTTACACGACGATTTATTATTCCGAGCAAAATCCGCCTGAAATCCTCTCGCGTTCCTGCTTCGTCATTTTACGCGATAGTGAAGCCACGCGAAGCTTTCATGAAGGATACACGTAAAGTTGCTTTTGCCAAATTGACGCCAAATCTATGTCTGTCTGGACGAGTTTCGGTATATTTCCGCTCCGTGTCTCCCGCGCGCGGATAACGCAAATGCAGATAAACAGAGACTCACCAATCTCGCGTCGCCTTCGCGACGAACTGCCGTTGGTTCTCCCGATCGATCGCTATGGAATGATGATGACGATGATCATCGATGGAGACAGCCGAATGGCAAACAAGGCGGGTCTCGTTCCGGTCGAGGATCGTGAGGTTGTAAGACGACGCCAGCAGGCGGGAGGCCATTCGATCCAAAGCCACCCACGATTTACCGGCCACCACCCAGGACGGATACGTGCAATGCTGCGGTGGCTCTTCTGTAACGTGAAAAGATGGCCGTGGTGAGAGGATCCGCATGGTTGTTCGTCGTCCTCGTCCTCGTCGTCGTCGTCGTCGTCGTCGTCGTCGTCGTCGTCGTCGTCGTCGTCGCTGCGCTCGCAGATAGAAAAATTCTCGACGATATTTATATGTTTCAGTCGCGACAAATGAAACGCTGAAATTATCCTCGAAGCCGACACATATTTCCGCGGATTCCCGTTGCGTCGCGCGAAAAAACGACACAACCGGAACGTGAGAAATGATCTCTGCTTGATGCTCGAGCGGGACGGTAAGGTCGCGCGGGCGATTAAACTTGAACGAAGCCACAGCACTCTCCGCCGCGCTTTCGGCATTCGCAATTACAGCGGGTGGGTGGGAGCGGGGAGTGGGGGTGAGTGAGGAAATATTTCGGTATTTTTAAGATCCTCGAAACGGCCCGCGACCAAGTAAGATCGCGCAAAGTTGATTATTGCCGGCGACGCCAACAGTTTAATTCCTGTAATTTTCGTCTCCACGTTGCAGATTCGGACGACTGTTAAATTCAAATGTAATTACGTGTCAAGAAATAGCTGCGGCTTTATTCTCGGAGAGCGCCCGTAACTTCCCTCGCCCTAACGCAGTTATTTCAAACTCGAAATGCATAATATAACCGTAAACTCGTTTCCCGACTCTTTAAGTTCACGGGGTCCTCGAGCAGATAATCCAGCATAAGTAAACTTTGACCTCTCTTCTCCTACGTTGTAAACTTCGTTTTCCCGGTATGCCGACTGTTCCCGGTGCATTATCGGGGTTCTGCACGCTGCGTCGATGAGTCCACGATAAAAAAGAAAGGAGAAAAAGAAGCAGGGAGGGGGCGGGGGAGAGAGAGAGAGAGAGAGAGAGAGAGAGAGAGAGAGAGAGAGAGAGAGAGAAGTACGCGAGGAAGATAAAATCGAACGGAGCACGAGGCGACTCTTTTGTTCGGAATTCCACGCTAATTACAATACGCTTTTAACGACGTTATGCTCGTAACTGGCACAATTACACCCTGCCGCGGGCAACATACGTCATGCGAAACGTGATGTATATTAACCAACTCATTAGCCTCATTAACGCATACGCTATACGTATGTATAGCGCAACGCGCAATTCGCGTGTGCGATGCATTGTCATTGTTGCGATAATGATCCGCAACCGTTACCCGTTATATCATCGTTTCGGGTCTACTTCGGACGATCTGTAACTCGCGCGACGGAATGTTATTTGTACTTTCGCTTACATCGCGCGACGCGAAAGACGTTTGAAGATGTTGCGACACGCGTCGTGTATCGTTTCCGATGCATTGTAAGTCTTTCTTGCAAACGCAACTTTGAATTCTGTCGCGAGTTTCAGATCGTCCAATTTCCGAAATCAAAATAAATTCGATGAATTCAGGCTGAGATCTACAGTCACAATACATTGAAGACTCTTATTAGAGAATTGCAGCGGTCGCTAAAAACACGGGGTACACGCACTGCGAAAAAGAGAGACCGAGATCGAAATAAAAAAAAAAGAAGAAAGAGAGAGTGAGAAATTGAGGTAGGAAGGGAAAGGGGCGGAGGGGGGGGGGAGAAAGCAGAACATGATTCAAATCGTCAGACTAAAAATTACTTCGGCTGAAAAAATAGCGAAGTGCGTCGTTACGATGCGTCGCGCGCGCGCGCGCGGCAACGGCATGCGAGTTACATCGACGCAAATAATTTGCCATAAACGCGTGACAAGTCCGTCGCCGACGAACAGTTATCCTGTCAATGATCGGCCGCCTACGGCTATCAATCACCGTGCGCGAATTAATGGACCGTTAAAAATGCACGAACGACAAAGTATATGCCGCGTGCATACTACATACGCCGGCGTGCGTGCGACTAAAAGCTAATCGATAATTCAATCGGGTGTGTGCGTGCGTGCGCTGTAACACTATACTCCGTCGAAATTGCGCTGCTTATCGCGCAGTGATGATGATACGAGCGAGAGAAAGAGAGGAGGACGGGGCGCGGCGGGAAAATGGGAGAGGGGACGACCTCGGGTCGATAAAGAAACGATCGCGAGATTGGCGTAATTGTTTCATTATGCGCGATCCGCATTGTCGATAGAATTATTGTCGTCGGAGGAGCCTCTCCTCGCCAAGAGGACTTCCCGCGCCCAATTAAGATTCCGTCGTCGCCGGCGGCGGGCAAATTTTCATATTTACGGTCGCTCGCGTTACATCATTTTCCCGGCCTCTCTCGCTATCGACAGCGGAATAAACTTGGAATCGATCGGCAAACTTCCGTGAGCTATCGTTCTTCTCGTGAGTTCGCCACCACCGCCGCCGCCGCCACGTTTGTCGGCAGCGTAGCGAATAACGGGTGAAACTATTTTAACGCGTTCGATTTTACGCCACAAGCATTTTTTGCCCCCCCCCCCCCCCCGGCCAGCCGAAGTATTTAATGCACACGAATTATCGGAGGAGTGGCGCCGATACTATCGAGTTGTTGGGTAATCGCCGCGGAGAGCAAGGAATGCAGATTTTGTTTGAACGCTTTGTGTGCCGTCGAACGAAGGAGAAAGACAGAGAGAGAGAGAGAGAGAGAGAGAGGGCACACGCGCGCGGCGAAATGCGTATTAAAATGAGTCGCACCGGCGGCGAAATGGGAGAAGAAATGTATGCTTTGTTCAAAGTAAATTACGCCGGTCCTCTTATCTTTCTTTGCAGTCAGACCGCATGTAATACCGTTGCGCATTGCCTCGGAGAGATTGTAATTCCGCGCTGCGTCGGCAGCCGCGACGGCTGCGGCAGCAGCGGCGGTGGTGACGGTGACGACGGTGACGGCGCTTGTTTGAAAAGTGCAACGAAAATTCAAAGGAGAAATATTATCTCACGCGAGAACCATCGCCGTGCGCGCGCGCGCGCGCGATCTTCCTGCTCGCGCGTTCGACGCGGCACCGCCCGCCTCCGCGCGAGGCAACGTTTTCGTCGTCTCATCGTTTAAGAAAAATACCCCGACTCCGTTCTCGCATTCGCTCCGGAGAGCAGCGCCGTCCGACGGAGCCGTGCCGCGGCTCGAATTCGCGACGTCGTCGCCGCGTGTCGTTGTCGCTTATCTGCCGCGAATATCATCGACGAGCTCTCGAGGGACGGCTGGAAGGAGCGGGGGAGGAGGAGAAAGAAAAAAGAGAGGAGGAGAATTTACATATCGGCCAGGCGGAATTTATCGCGCGTTGGCCTTATAGCGCGCGAATAACGCTCTCATCTCATCCAGGTACGGGCACTTGGAGGCGGGAAGCTCGGCGTAGCTCGAGATCCCGGGGCTAATCTGCCTCCTGGAAAGTTTAAATGGAAACGCGGAACCGGGGTAGGGGGTTAACGAAACATCCGGGACGCCGTGGCAAGGGCGCCGTTGAAAAATTTTTAAGCTGCTTAACGCCCGAGTTGAATTTGCTTCGAGTAGCGGCGGTGGCGACGGCGACGGCGGCGGCGGCGGCGGCGGCGGCGCGGCGGCGGCAGCGATGGCGCGATTTCGAGATATTAAGTGTTAGCTTCGTGATTCTGCTCGATAACACGCTCGACGACAACACGGTCGGTCGATCTGCGACGCCGTTATCGAGATACCGCCCCGTGAGACAACGGCGGAGGAGGAGAGAGTCTCCATGGGATTGTCGCTTCGCCGTGCAAGCGCGAGTAGCAAATAAACCGTGATAAATGAACCTTGGAGAATATCCGACGATTGCAAGTAAACGAAGTAACTAATCAACCGGCGATATTGAAACACACACATACTCGCGCATGCATACGCATCGTGGAACGAATATGTAGTAATTTTTCGCTGAAAATTATCCTTTTGCTACGAGTACTCACCTCGTTAGCGTTTCCTGCAGAGATCGAGGGCGATAAACTTGCGACAGAACTTGTCCTTCACGAAAGGATGCCAAATTGACCAAACTATCACACGAGTGGACTTTCGAAAACCACTCACGTCTTATTGCCCAATTTTGCCAAAGATACTTCAAATAAGTGCTCTTAAATGAATCTTCACCGACATACAAGTTTAATGCTGAAAAGGTTTAAATAACATATATCGCTAGTAATATTGCTCTATTTTTCTAGATAAATCTATGTACGATTATATATTTATTTAAACCTCTCCAACGCTGTCTTTATCGAGTTCTCAATTAAAAGACAGAGTAGTTACCTATTGGTTAGGTTAGGTTAGGTTAGGTTAGAGCAAATATATTTACTTATTGTCGCATAAACATATAAACATAGCGTATAGATAAATCTGGTAAAGTAAATTTGTTCTAATAGAAATACATAATGTTATTTGAATACCTTTAGCTCGATAAATTTGCAGCAATTAGGCGTAGGTGATTCTCGGAAGTTTACCCCGTCACGTCTCGCATAAAGAAGCGGTTTAATGTTTGCGCTCGTCAACGCTCGAGGAGCTAACCGCGTCGAGTCACGTCTCTAGTGCGCGATGCGTCGACGAAAGCCCGTGAGGCGCGCCCGAATTTAGCGCGAATCGAGCGGAAATCAAAAGCGAGGCGAAGGCGCGCAGCGTGAAAGCTAACCTGCGAAATATTCTCGATAACAGCTGGCGCGTTTTCTCACGACGCGACGGTAGGCACTCTCGAAACGACCCGTATCGATCTATCGCGGCGCGCCCGCGCGCGCGCGCGCATGCGCCCCCGTTGCGTCGTTCGACCGTCGATCAAGCCCGTCGCCTGAATTTGGTTAACCGTGAACCCTGTGACAAGATCGCCCCCGATCCGGCAAGGCTACGTGCAGCTATGCGATACCGTGGAATACCCCAAGTACCTGGCGTTGACCACCGACCGGGTCACGATAGTATGCCGGACAAGAATCCGATCTGGTGTCCGCAGGCACTCTCATAGTTTACGTGTTCTCGTTCGAACGGGCCAGGCCACTGCCGGATGTACGCGAGCCGATCGCCTCGTCGCTATCGGCCATAACAGCTCCGCAGAATTTCGATCGTTAATTCGATCTTTCGCGGTCGGCTCGCGCGACGCGCCCGTGCACGGTCGATGATGGATATCGTGCCTACGAAGAGGTTAAATCGGAGGACGAGGAGGACCCCCCCCCGCCCCCCGCGGGAACGGGAAACGGCGTGTGCAGATGGATCGAAGTCGGGGAACCTGGAGGTTTGAGCGCCGTTCGAAATAGCCGGAACGCGAATACCGCAGCTGGGATCGGATGTAAGACGGCCAATGGCGGCAAGTAGATTTTCTTGTAGATATATTTTCGCTAGATTTTCGCTAGAAAGATTCGCTGGGCGGATACTGAGGGGAAGTTACTCGAGACATTCGCCGAACAATATCTGACAGAGTGTTTTCACCGGTTTGTCGATTGTCGAGACTTAACCTCTCGAGGGCGCGCAATGAGTCCGACTCGTGACGCGTTTTCTTCGAGTGCGAGAGCAACTTTGTGACTTTCCGCGAGCGAGTAACTGGCGTTTGCAAAAATATTCCGCTTTGCGCATCGTTATTTACCGAGAGTTGCATTATTGTTATTTACCGAATGAGTTGCACTTACGACATGCATTTGCGCATCTTCGAAAACGCTGTAGCGTATGAAAAGCTACACATAAATTAACGCAAAAGTAACCCCGCCCTCGATGAATGGGAATCCTTCGTCTCGACGGAGAACAATCTTCACGTCGCGATTTTGCGACCCTTCGCGGTCGCGTCGCGAGCCGGGCGGGAAGGGTGCGGGAAGGGAAGAGAAACATTTTGAGAGGAGACTCACTTTGCGTCATCTTGAACGTCCTGGCGGCCTCGTGGACGCTGATCAATCCGTTGCAGGCGGCGTCCGAGCTCTGGGCCAGGTACCACGTGTTGTTCGATGGATTTGTGTAAATAAAGCATCTGTAGCTCTCCTCGTCGTTTGTTTTACGATCGCTGTGCAAACGCGCGACCATGTAATTTGTGCTGCCCTCCCTCCAATGAGCCAGACACTCCAATTCTACGTCTAGAAAAACAAACGTCACACTGCAAATTGCCATGTATCCAATAACAACTATTGCACTTTTGTTGCTATTTTGTTGAGGTGCACGCGTGCGCGCGTATGGCATATGTTTATTTAGGATACAGGCGGGAGAGGGACAAGGGGGAGGCGGCGAAAGGGGCGGGAGGGAAGCATAAAGTGTAATTCGTTGAGGCAGCAGCTGACGGCCGGGTGCGCGCGAGCGATGAGGTTATGCGTTATCGGGATGAACGAACGAAAATTCGGTCGTGATTCTGTCTACGAGCCTATCAGTAACGGAGTCGTAAATAGAAGTTTATTGCCATTGTCCCCGCGGATAAAGCCATCCGCAGAAGTTACAAACGGGGGTAAACGAAATATGAATGTTCATGAAAACGCATTATACCGCGCGCGTACGACAGAAAGAGAGGGGGGGGACGGTGATAGACGGATAGATGTATAGATAGATAGATAGATAGAAAGATGATATATAGAGAGAAAGAAAGAGAGAGAGAGAGAGAGAGAGAGAGAGAGAGAGAGAGAGAGAGAGAGCGAGAACACGGGACGTGCAGCGCGGTGTATTCATTTATCCGCGCGATCGGGATAGACGATCGGGCACAGGCCGATGATAATTGCGCAAAATCGTTTGGACAAGCCCAGCAACAAATGGTAATTGACAAGGCCATTAATCATTCATTCCGAAGCCGCGAGCTTTATTGACCGTTACAAGCCTTGCGCGTCGTGTTAATTAATGTCAAACCGGATGTTAATGTCACCGCGCCGGCACGCGGTCGTGACGTCGTATAGTTCCTTTTTGCGTTGCCCGCCGAAATATCCGCCGACGACGACGACGACGACGACGACGACGACGACGACGACGACGACGACGACGGCGATGACGGCGATGACGACGACGACGACGATGATGATGATCATGATGATAACAACAACGCGAGGCAATCTTATTGTTCGCTTGGTTCGAACAACTCGGCAACTCGATCGTGCGCTGCTGATTTGTCGCGATAATCAATCTTCGGTCTCCGCGCGCGACTATCGTGACTGTCCTTTAATACTTTTCGAATATTCAAATGATTAAAAGCCGGAAATTGTAAACAATTTCGCGACTTTGAGAACAAACACGACAGACAGAGAGAGAGAGAGAGAGAGAGAGAGAGAGAGAGAGAGAGAGAGAGAGAAAGGGAGGGTGGGAAAGAGAGAGGGAGAGGAGAAAGCAATTTGATGACGATGAGATCGCGAATCAAAGCGCGAAATCGGCGATCTACCCCGAAATTCGCGTCAATATATCGGGACACTAAGGCGGACGCTTTATAATTGTAGATTGCAGCGATACGAATTAATTATCTTGGGCCAATGGCGAAACGTCACTAGTAGGCGGTGATTGAACTACGCGCGTTGCATAATTCATAATTGTTTCGGTATTCATTCGGCAAATTGTGAGCGTATGTAAACAGGTGTAACGCAATCACCGTGTGAATGAGCAACGCACAATGCAATGGCGCCGCTCGCTGGGGCGCGGCGATATCGTTTTATGCTGCCCATGTGCGTACGTGCGCGCGTATATGTGTGTGTGTGTGTGTGTGTGTGTGTGTGTGTGTATGTCTATGTCTATTGTGTCGAGAATGACGCCCGAGAAAACCATGAAAATGCAAGGAGAGGCCGCGCGTGATGATTTTTCCGTGTGTCGCGTTGCGTCTCGCGTGTATAAATGGGAGAGTGTGAGAGAGAGAGAGCAAGATAAGGAGAGAAGGGGATGTAGGGGGAAAGAGAGAGAGGAAGTATCGTGTTGAACGACACGCGCTTGGTGAAATGGGGAATGTCGCGAGGGAGGAATACTGACCGACGCTTTCAGACGAATGAACGTTGGCGCACGCTTGATAGCGCAGGAGCAGCCGCGACTCCTGCGTGCACGCTTCCGCCCGTGACCGCGGCGAATTGCACTCGCCCTCGCCCTGGCTGTAGGTGAACTCCAAGGGGCCCTTAATGGGACAAGGCAGCGGTGCCGCACCGGTGCGAAACAGGGAGACCAGAGTGGCGTCGCTGGTCAACAGGCTGCACTTGGACAGCAGACTCGGCTCCGGCGACTCGTTCGTGCAATAAGCTAATAACAATCGCGGAACACGGTGTGTGACGTTGGCGCTTCTGTCGGCGGCGTGTTTTCAGAAATGTTACAACGTGACGCAATTAAGCGGCACGGCGTGCAGTGACAGAACACACGCAGCATGTGATAAAATAACGTTGAAACAATAATGCAATAATGGAACGCGCGTTTCGCGGCAATAATGCATACGCAGCGCGTACGAAAGAAAAAAAATTCCGGTCCCTATAGAGCTCTGAATTCGAAAGCTACATGACTGTGAATATGTTTTTTTTTTTTTTTTTTTTTTTAGGAACGTTTGCTTTCCTGTTTGTATGTATACGTTTCTTTTTCTGTTCAAGACACAAACGCATGCCTGACTTCGAAAGATCCGGCTGATTATTAATTTCACACCGCTTACTTTCTTTGTATTGCAGCACGTTCGTGTGTTGCGCGTGCATCACGATGCATCGGTAGCATTTGTCCTTCCTGAAACATAAACGAGGGAAACAGTTTTAAATATTTTCACGTGCCTGGGGGTTTCGTGTTTAAAGAATTGCAGATTTACGTTATGCGCGTGTACAATTTTTCGATTTTATATTTTTGCGCGGGGAAACGTCCACCCGGAAATATTTTATTCCCGGTGCCTCGTAAACTTCACCTATTCACACCACTTACAAATTGAAATCAGCAGAAATGAAATCTGTGCGATATATATATATATATATTTATATAATATATATACACACATATAAATATATATATATATATACATATATATATATATATATATACACATATTGCTGTATTATCAAACCCGCAATCCGCTATTTATTAAACCAATATGTTCTCTAGAGTCGCGCGCAAAAAAGCTTCGCTTTTTGTCAGATGACAGCATTCGAAAAATATGAAAAATTTTTTTGAAAAACTCTTTTTCTCCCTGTTTTTTCCCCCCGTGCGCGTTACACGAGCGTATGAACAATTTATATTAAACCGTGCGCCAATTAAATATTGTTCTTGACCAGGGGAAAATTATCATTATGAAAAATTGTCGCGAGCGTGCACCATAGTGAAACTCATGCTATGGAATCGTTCGGTTTCACATCGAAAGAGTCCATTCCGTAAAATAGCGATATAGCGAGGGAGGAGATAGAGAAAGAGGAGGGAAGAAAAAGAGCGATATACATTTTTCTCGTTGTAATAGGTACGAATGGGCGGGTTTGAAACGACGCGGATCGCGAGGCGGTGCTTACGCCCCGCTGTTCTTCCTCGTGCACGTGGACTGTATTTACGTTGATTTGCACTGTGGAAAAAGGTATAAACCATCGCGGGCCGCCTATTTGAATAGCGGCGTAAATTTACAAACCAAATATCGAAGTAATTTCTGTCGCACGGCAGCGGCGGCGGCGGCCGCGGTGTTCGCAAATTTCGCCATCGCGCTGCCGCCGCCGCCGCCTGCCGTAGCCGGCACCGTGCCGCCGAACGTAGCGATTTCGCCGATTATCGTCCTTTTCAAAATGCACCGTTTAAAGCGGATTAATATCGTTACAACCGAGAGCTTTCCGTGCGCACAGCAGCGGATGCGTCGACGTCGAAGCGGCGATAGTAGCCGGAAACTATATCGGACTGACAGTCGGGAACAAAGGTAAACTTCGACTTAAGCCACCGAAGGGAGGGGGCGGAGGGGAGCGAGCCAGAGAAGTGAAGAGGCGGCAGGGAGAAGGCGGGAGGAGACGAGGGACGGAAAAGGGTGGGTCCGGGAGGTGTGGAAGGCGCAGGGGGACACAGAGGAGGAGCTGCGAGAGAAGGAAGGCAAGTTGCGCAGACCTGAGCTAAGTAAGCAAGGTGCCAACTAGTAGGGACACAAGACAAGCTCCGAAAGTTCTAAGTAGCTACGCGATACTACTCGTCGGACCCTTCCCTCCCTTCTTCCCTCCCTCCCTCTCTCTCTCTCTCTCTCTCTCTCTCTCTCGCTCTCTCTTGCTCGCTTCTTCCATTGCAGTCTCTCCATCACCATCTCTCGCGCTGTCTCCGTCTCTCCAGTCGCTCGTATCCTATCGACGTCATTATTGCACCTCGCGTTTGTCTTTTCGCTCGTGAACAAATGCTCCTAGCGAGCGTGTCATCACGCACCGACGCATTCGCAGACTCGCCCGCGCGCGCGCGTGTCTCATTTGTCGGTCGCGCGGTTCTCGGTGTGTACAGCGGTAGGAATTGTTGACCGACGAGACCGAGTGGACTTTTGGTAACGCGACGGGGAAAAAGTCGGTCCCCCTCGGCCGAAGCTGTACACGGACGCGTTAAGTCGCGCGTCGATCCAATCTCCGTGATCGCGGAGACGCGTAAACGCGACCTTTCGCGTGATCTGCGAAAGTTGCAATCTGCGAAAGTTGTCAAGTTTGTTTGCGCGCCGGCGACGAAACGCGGCCGCCGCGTTCGGAACTCCGCGGCCCCGTAAACGCTTTCGACCGGACGTTGGCCCGGCGATCGCATTCGAGAATACGAGAGAGAGAGAGAGAGAGAGAGAGAGAGAGAGAGAGAAAGAGAAAGAGAGAGAGAGAGAGGAATGTCGGATTGCACGGCAACCCGAAAACGCGGCCCGACTCGCAGTTAAACGCGGACAGGCTTTGTTCGAGAAGCGGGGAACGCGCTCTCGTCGATAGAAATCGTCCCGCCCGGAATCGTTTCGCTTTAAGTTGCCACGCTCTCGCGCTCGCGGCAGTTTCCTCCCTTTTAACGACTTTCGCGGACTCCTCTTGTGCCCGGGCGACACCGGGCGATCGACCAGCCGCTTCCCGTAATTATGAATTTCGCTTCCGTCTAGCGCGCGAGCGCGCGACAGACACAATAAGCGCGCCCTCGCTGCTTTCTTTCCAAATACTCGAACCTGTTAAAACTGCGCGCCTCCACCTGCGCGCTCCACTTTCTCTTACTTTGATGAGCCGCCTAGCGGCTGGCCGTTGCCATTCTAGGTACATTTGCTCGCATTTTGAAATCATAATAATTCAAATCTGTCTCGGCGAGTATTTTTAATCCGGTATTTACACTGGTCGTGACAATTAAGGAATCGCTTTCTTCCCCACCGCCTGTGTCTCCCAGTAGATATCTCAAGTGTCTCGAGAATATCTTCCGCTCGATATCTATATCTTCATTAAATCTTTATCTTTATTAAATAATCTTTACTAAATAAGAGCTTGCACACGAGAAGCAATGCGATTTAAATTAATGTCGGTTTTCCATTTTGTATCTTTTCATCATTTAGGTCTTTTCCTTCGTTATTAAAAATAATCTGAAATTACACCGAGATGTCTGGATATTATCATGTTTTGCTGCTTTGAACATTTTTATAATTTGCTGCACTCTCACGAACGTAAACAGCATCTTATCGCACTGAGAAACATATCCGAGATATCCGATTGTTAATTTCGTTATCCGATCAAATATCCGATTGAATAAATATCGGATATTTATGGAATAGCGAAATCAACAATCGGATATTTCGGATATTTTTCTCGGTATGAATATATCTTATACCTTTACTTGTTTTAACAACAATGGCTCAATCGTCATTGTGAAGATCAACAGAGTCTTGCTATATTTAATATGTTATATTTTATCTTTCTATATATATATTGCGTATTATTTAATACATATTACGTTTCACTTTTATTTATATCTTATTAAATGACCCAATTAGAATTATTCGCTCAACATGAGCGGCTAATTGCATCGAACAACGCGATCACCGAGCCATTTGCCGTCAAATGCCGAAAGATTACGGCGACTGATGAACCCCCTCGAATACGTATAATTGCATATAAACCTAAACGTCAGATGTGTATTAACGACACATTCGCCGCGAATCGTCTCGAAGCCCTTCGCTCACTCGGCCACGACACGGCGCTCCTCCGCCGGAAGTATTTACTTAACCGTTAAGCCGACTGGTTTACGTTAAGTCGAGTATTCGCATTTTAACGAGAGAGGGCTGCCGTTAAAGTCACCCTACGTCGACCCTCGACAATTCTGATGCTTCATCGCTCGATGAAGCTCGCACTAATAACGCGAGACGAGACGAGATCAGGCCAGGCCAGGCTAGGCCAGACCAGAGCAGAACGAGGTCGTTTCTCGTTCTTCCCGTCATTCCTGCGCCGTCCCTCGCCGGATATGTCTGTATATCAAGCTATCATGGTCTCTTCATTACGCGCGAGTTATTAATAACGAGCACGAGCGGGAACGAGCGAGTATTTTGCGCGGGTGCGCGTGCACGAAAAATTTCCTGGCGAACAAACGGCCACGACGGGGGGCGATTTTAAAACGCGGCATCGATCCCCGCGCGCGTTGCGTAACTGCGCACGCGTGCATGCGTTACGTGACCCGCGGGTAAGAGAGTTTCGCTCGAGACTCGATAATCCGCTCGATTGTGCCGCGTTAGCTCGCGTCGCGCGCGCGCGCGCCGAGCATTTCGATATATTAATTCACAGCGTCGACCGACCTCCCTTGCCCTCCTTTCCCCCTTATTCTCCTCACGGTTTTCGTTTTTTGCATAAGCGCCCGCGCGACGCGCAATAATCCGCTGGTCGGATCGCGTTTCTGCCTGGTCGCGTCTTAATCCGATCGCTGCCTTGCGCTTCCGCGATGACGGCTGCATCGCGATACAAATTCGTAATCTTGTATCGCCTCGCGAACGCGTTCCGCAGCGCTGCGTACGGTGGAATCCGCGCGCGCACGCGATTCGCTCTTGTCCGTGATGGATTATTGAGACTGATGTTACCACATTGATGTGGGTGATTACGTCGCGGCGGTGCGACCCGCTTCACCTCTCGGACGGGCAAAGATGCGAAGCGAAGTTCCGAGCAAACGCTCCCGCGCTGTTCGGAACGCTGTTTCTTCCCGCGCGAAAACTTGAAGTAAGATCGGGAGAAAGATAGGAAAATAAACTTCCGACTCATCCGTCACGCCTAATTGCTGTAATTTTAATGTCAGAAGTATCGAAATAACGTTATGTACCACTGTTAGTATTATATATGACATTATTTAAACTCTTTTAGCGTTAAGCTTCTTTGTCGGTAAAGATTCATTAAAAAGCATTAATTAGATCATCTGAAATATTTCCATTACAATTTATGGCAACACGGTGTGAGTGGTTTTCGCTAAGAGAAATACATAATAAAAATTTACTTAATAAGATTTACATAATAAAAATTTACTTAAAAAATATATATATATATATATATACGGTAATAATAATATTCTTTCTCCAGAAAGAAAGTCAGCCGGCTTTTATCGGAAAATGAGATCTGAACATTTATATGTTCAGCAAAATGTAATAATAATAATAATATAATAGAATACATAAACTTACGGGAGAGATTCGAAAGCGGAAACGTACGGGCGATTTTGGCAGCTGACGAGAGACAATTAAATATTTTATCCTCGCGAAATATGAAATGCAATGATATTCTAGTCGGTGCTGGCACCGTCGGCGACGA